GACGTTGCAAAGGAGCAGACGACGCTCAGAGAGGGGTCGCGATCAGCCAATCAGGGCTCGGCATTCTGACGTCACCGCTACTTCCTTTCTCATGCGCAGAAGACGAAAATGAGCCCACTTGCGAGGCGTATATCTCTCTTGACGGCAACTCAGGCAAACAACAAATAAAACAACCATACTGCTGAAAAAAAAAAAATATATATATATATATATAGCATCCCAATGTACTATTTACACACCTCAAGCTCGGGAACAAAGATGCTAGAACATTGAGGAGCTCGAGACGCGCCCGCGCGCCCCAAACAAACGGTGATATTCGTGGGGCTGGAGCTGCCACTACGACGGGAAAGCGGTTCCAATATTTCTACATGTAATATTATACAAATTATCTGCGAAAAGCCCGATTTTTTTTTTTTCGAAAGCAGCGATATTTAGCGGTCGGCCGAGACAACACTACAAGTAATGGACTAACCATTGCTACGTAATATATCACTCCATGGAGCACTTACCTAGCGCGCGAAGGGCCCCAAGTGTCTACTCTTTACGTTCACTATATTACTCTATGGTAAAACACGTTCTGCATTAAAATGTACGGTATCTAATGCATACGAACCGAAAACATTCTTTAGAAAGATGTTTCCAATTTCTGTAGGATAAATACCGACACCCGGCTCGTAATCTGGAACTACGCTATATTTTCCGATATTGTGAATTCCGGGCAATGCCAGGTTGGTTTTCGTAGACGTTCTCGAGCCTTAAGAGGTAGAGCAGGCTCCTTCACGCACTCTGCAGCAAGTATAACGCCTAGGGCTGGGAAATTTGTCGATCAACCTACCGATTAATCGATTAATTCTTCAATCGCGATATAATTATTTAACTGGTAAATCGGTAAAACGAGTAGACCTTTACGAAGGGCAAGCGAACTTTAGGTCAAAATTTAGAATAAAGTAAACTGTAAGGGCGACATATTTGTAACCTCAATTAAGTACAGAGGTTACATATGTGCCCGACCATTTCAACGTCATTGGAGTGTCTGTTTAGAGCAGCACAGACTATTGTGAACAATGAAAGGAGGTCGCTCTTTCAGCGGAATATCAACGAACATCTTTGCCTTCAGGTATCTGATAGTGTTCCTAACTACACTTCGAGATTAATTTATGATCACAGTTGAACATTGCACCGTTTATAACATATTAAAAAAACATATTTCTGTAATATTTTGGATTGAAATAAACGACACCGATTAATTGATCGATTAAAGGGTGGCGATTAATGGGGTTAAAACTTTTAATCGACGCCCAACCCCAATAACGACCCATGACGCCATGAAATGTCCCGATGTGAACACCCTAACAGAGATGTGTACGGATCCCTAGCTCTAGTACCCACGACCGTTGGACGATAACATCACAAGAAAGCGGTTCCTCTACTGTTTTCGTTAAAACTACGCATCCCGGCAACTTTTCTTTTATTATTTTTTTTTTCTTGAAGAAAAGTATTTCACAGAAACAACGCCTTTGACGAATCGCCTCGCCGGCTTGTTCTCCGTTTTGAGAGTTACTGACACTAGCCGAAATCCATGGATATGAACGATTAGATTCCGTTTTATTTTTTGTGGATTTTGTGGATGTAGATGATCGTGGATCGGAAGGGCGTAACAAGTAAATCGTCTCAATGCCGCGGTGTCGGCATCTGGAAGAGAGGAACAACTCCGAAGCAAATGAGGTTGCTAACGGTGAAAAATGCTTGACACATTTGCGCTTTGGGTACAACCGACTGCGTTACGACCACTTATAACTAAAATTATCGTTTATATATATATATATATATATATATATATATATATATATATATATATATATATATATATATATATATATATATATATATATATATATATATCCTGATAAGCTTTGAAAAGTAATATTCGAGCGCATTTTGTCACAATTGGAAAAAAACGAAAATCTCCGAAATAAACTTGCCTTTGAATAAACAATTAACAAGAATCCAAGCTTTTGCGAAGTCAAATATTTACAGCCTTACTTAGAATTCACCCCGAATACTGCCTCCCCCCTGGAAGGACTGTTCACGAGGCTGTGCCCGTTCCTATCGGAACCCTATAGAGTATAGACCAACACGTGGCCCTGACGTTACGCAATTACGGTGGCGCTGTCGACGGCACTGCGCATGCGGAGAGGCTTCACTTCACGCGAATTCGGTTCCTGCGCACGTGCAGTGCCCACACCTTGTGTGGGCAAACGCGGGATTGTTTGTAAACAGCGTGTCGGTCTATAGGGCTTCTCTCAGTACCGGATTTTTTTCCAAGTATTCGTATCACCCGCATGTTTATTGGAGGTTGAGAAATCCCATGCCCGTGTCATGTTTGCTTCAACATAAACCCCGATAAATGACAATTTTTGTTAGATCCCGAAAACTGACGCTAAAAAACACCGAATCTGTAAAAAAGAAAAAAAAAATAATAATAATAAACGACAAAAAACACGCCCATATTTGAAAGAAGAAAAAAATGGCACCCTAAAACGTTAAACACTTCTTATGACTGATTACCAGAAGCGTTGCCATGGTAATGCGTTGTGGCATTCCGTCCTAAGCAGCTGTAAGCGGTCGTAACGCAGTCGGGGGCGTACTCAAAACGCAGATGTCTGAACGCCGATCTCTGAAACGTCTGATAAGGCAGACGCCGGTGTTAGTTGACGTATACCTTTGGCGAGATAGAAAGAAATGTTCGATAAGGTCACTAGACCCTTTTCAAAAGTCCATCAAGCAACAATGATGATCGCCATTTCTTGGGCAAAAGCGCGGGTATGGACCCGAGCCTCGAAGAACGCCGATGCTACAAGTCGGAAGATGTGATTGTGCTCGATGTTATTAATCTTATATGTTGTAACTACAATCGGCGCCTTTTTTTTTTTTTTGTAATTATCGTAACTTGCAATAGTAAATTCAAATGGTTTTAAATTACTACGATCCGAAAGCGTCTCCTACATAAAACTGAAGGAAGAAAATCAAAACGAGGTCAATTAACAGTTTGGAGACGTACGTACTTACATCGCGTCGCTAGCGGCATTCTAACTGTAATATGAGGACAGTTTCCACATCTAGGAACATAAATTGCAAAGTGAAGAGTTTAGGTGTATGTTTACAGCACTACCTCGTATAAAGGCAGCCCAGCACAGCGGCGATTAATTTAATTATTCATTCTATTTTTTGTGTGACACGCGTGCTGTTCATATGCGCTCGCAGGTCTTCACTTATTAAAGGGGCAGTGCAACAATTTTCAGACTTCGGCCAATTAACTTCGGAAATTAATCTGTGTCACCTATGGAACGAAAAACCGTAAGCCGCATTTTCTTGCGAGCGCTAGTTCTTATTAAAAAAAATGAAACAAATCGAAGGTCGAAGTGCCTCTCAACTCTCCACGCCGACTTTCGAGTGACGTCTCTGGGGGTTCACGTGGTTTCCCCTTGGGCCCTCTCTTCAGAGACCCCAGCCGCTTCCTCCGAGATTGTCGACTTTCAAAGGATTAGCCTCGTCGAAGGTCGCGGCGAGCGATGGACACAAAGGACGTTTCGCCACGGGGCTGACGGCGAGTGTAGCAGCGGAGGGGGACAGGGTTTGTTGACTTCCGCGTATCCCCCAGAGACGCCGTTATTTTAGTTCCCGTAGCCGCCACCGGCGGCTGCAGATCGGCAAATGATTCGTTTTTTGCCTAGCGATTACGCAGCAGAATAGCCGTTTTTTGGGGAAAGGTGACGCGTTTTTGGTCACTTGGGCTTGTATGAACATTATAAAAAATGCAAACTGGCAATTCTTTCAACGCTAAAACCGTTGCACTGCCCCTTTAAGAATCTCCACTTTAACAAACGTCAAGACAATACGTTTGAAGTGCGTCCATATGTTTCCCGTACTATAGTCCCCGCGCCAAGAGAATAAAAAATTTGCAACGGCACGTAAGCTTCTTGTCACTGAGTAAGCGAAATAGACGTGCGCATTTTCACGAGTCAACTGTGGATCTTCTACATCGACCAAATGTAACCCCCTTCCATTTTTGTACCATGACAGCATTGTTAGACAAGCATAATTATTTAAACATACAGACATTAACTGGTTTTTCAAAGAACAGCTTGTAGCTCAGTAGCTATCACTCCGACAATATGATAAGTTGCGGCAATAAAAATATTCACAAGATCGACAAAAAAAAAAAAAAAAGAATGGGAGCATTACATTTGTCGGATTCTATTATCACTCCTTATTTGCATTTGATATTGCCAGTACGCTCGCCACGGTAAACAGTTTGTCGAGGACGTGGGGTGCTGCGCCATTTACCAAATCTGTTTCAATACATTTCCATGCAGGCCGATCGTGACCCAACGCCAAAAGGGTAAAAAGTGTGCAAAACGGCTGCAAATCTGCCTTATTTCGCCCGTATTCGATCTCAATGAGCATCGTACAGGCGTCCAGGCGTATATATCCAATGCGTGATGTTCGTTAAAGATCCTAACCTCCCGCTGTAGAAAGATACGCGTAATTTTGCCTCAATTAGCGGTACATTGACGACGCTCGTTTTGACAAACTCCAGCTCATAGACGTACATACACGAATTTCAAACCTTCCTAGTCCTACACGTCGTGTGTGGGTAGCGTTGTATGATACTAGAAAGTCCCATTCGCGAGGAACGAGCCAGAAAGCGCACGTAAACACAGTGATCCCAAACGGTCTTCGGCACAATTTTGCCCAAATCCGCGGCACATGGCGATCGCGTATTTAAAACGAACACAATCTCACAAACAAGTATAAGTGGATTTCGCGCCTTCCTAATTGCACCCGTCGTAGATGGGCAACGTTATGAGACACTAGAAAGGCCCACTCGCGACGACCGAGCAACAAGGCGAATGTAAACACAGCGCTCCCAACTCGTCTTCGGCGGCATTCAAGAGCCCGGCAAGCTGAGCGAAGGCAACGATATGAAATCCACGTACCTTGTTTTCATTGGGTGCAGGCGTCGAAGGACTCCCTTTTTCTTTGTTTGGCCTCTTCTGTTTGCTTTTCACCTTCGAACTCTTGCTCAAAACTTGGTTTTCCTTGGCCATCACGGCGTACAATCAACGTTTTGTGGGCGCAGCCATGTTGTGTGGCGTTCCTGGATTGTGGCGCCACCTTCCGGACACGTACATGCCGGCTGATAGATGGCGCTCGCGAGACAAGAGAGTTTCGGTTTCGGTTTCGACGCGGAACTTCTCGTGCGGTGTGTGTTGTTCGGGCTGACAGCGGGAATGAGTCTGTAGGGTGATGACGGTAGCTTCTTGTGTTGCGTGACAGCTAGGGGGGTATGTAACTAATACATAATAAAGCCTAAAGCAATTTGCGCTATACTCCTTTCATTAAAGTTTTGATTGGCTCTCGGCAATTAAAAGTTACAGGAAATATGGAAGGGACGCCAGCAAATTTCCTTAAAACAGGCGTTCGATATGAAAAGGTGCCCTTCTTGTTCGCTAGTTTGAAACTACACTCAATGTGGTGTAACTAAATAAATTTTTTTTTTTTTTTGTTACTGTTATTTGATAAAAAATTACATTTCCAGCTTTTTTACGAGTGTAAAAACATTGGCTCTCCTCCTCGAGGTTCATTGTGCTATGTAGCACAATTTAATAAGAATAACAAAAGTTATTGCTTACTTTCATATATAACTAAATTGAATTTGAACAGGTTTTTTTTGTTTTTGTTTTTTAAAGAATGTGACCAGAACACAAACACCATCTTCAACATGTGCGTATTGGGCTTGACGGACATTAGATGGGACGATTACCGTCGCGTTGAGTAGACTAATGAACTCGAATTTTCAAATCAACTTTTTGGTCTTAATGAATTTATATGTAATTAACAATGATTACAATTGGAGAATAAACCGATGTAATAAGTTTGCAAAAATATAGCGAACTTTAAAATGTTCATCGATCAGATTTCCCATCTGGCAACTAATTCTCGAAAAAAAAAAAGACAAGTGCGTATCTGTGCAATCTTATCACTATCAGGTAGTGTGCCGTCGGCGCGTCTGCCAAGAATGCGCTCCCGAGATGATGACGTGCACGTGACTGAACCTTTACGACCCTATTCTTAGCATCATTGTAGGCAGGACTACCGAAGCTTTTCCCCCCTGCAGTTTTGGAGTCGGCTAACAAAGAAACGCCAAAACTGATTTATGACTATCTTAAATAATGGGCCGATTTACCAGAGAATGTATCGCCTTAAAAAGTGCAATTGTAACATGCCCCATAAAAGATTAAGTAAAAAAAACTAGTTGGCAAATTTAGTTAATTAACCTTCTGATCGGGTAGGTATCTTCTCACCTAATCCCCGCCGAGCCCGATACAATTACAGTGGAGGCGCTATTTACTTACAGTGCGTGACACTGTTTGCGCAAACAAGGCTTCGGCACCTTTTCGTATTTTACTCCGGAAGGGCCCCGACGTACGTCAGATTCTACCAATTCTACTAGAACCCCTACTGGATACTATCCAACGATGTAGTAGTTTCAGTGACTGACCATCTTCTATACTAAAAAAATAATAATAATAAAACGGCGATGGCCTGTTTGCGTTAACAGTGTCGCGAAATGTACAAATCGCCCTCCTTAGAAAAAAAGTAATAAATAAAGATGCCAGTTTTTTTAGTTTTTTAAGTTCTATAATGCATACAATGCATTATAGGGAATAGGTAGGGAAATTGGTGTTTCACGTGATGTATATTTTCCCGCTAAAGTTAGCGGGGAAAATGAATGGTAGTATAGGTCACGTGACGTCAGATCACATGACGTCGATTTCCCTCGCCAAATTTAGTGGGGAAACTGGATTGGTCTCGAGGTCACGAGACGCGAATTATCCCGCCAAATATTTGCGGGAAACTGAATTGGTGTATACGTTGTGTGACGTCGGTTTCCCGCTAAATTTAGCGGGAAAACTGAATTTCATGTTTTGGCCACGAGGTGTCAATTTTCCCGCTAAATTTAGCGGGGAAACTGAGTTGACGTGTAGGTCACATGCCATCAATTTCCTCAAGGTGTGAAGGTCGCGTGACGTCACGTGACGCCACTTTCCCGCCAAATTTAGCGCGGCGAACTCAGTCGGTGTATAGATCACGTGAAGTCAGTTGTTCCGCTAAGTTTAGCGGGAAAACGGAATTGGTCTGTGTATACCGTGGCGTCAAGTCACGTGACATTAATTTTCACGCTATATTTAGCTGAGAAACTGAATTCATGTATATGTATCGTGATATAAATTTGCTCGCTAAATTTAGCGGGAAATGCGCGGAGGACGGAAGAGCGGACAACATTTTGGGATTCTCCCTCTGCCAATCCCACTTATTTTCCTTTCCCCTTCTTTCGCCCTCTCCAACCCTTCCCCCCCCCCCCCCCCCCCCCCCCCCCGGCTCGAATTTTCGAACCGGAACCGAACCATTACTTTAGAAAACCATTACCGGTATTCCGCGTACCACGCTATACTCCGTTCACCTTAAAGGGACACTACAACGAAATCTCGGCGCTCATTTTTTGGTATATATGTGTTCAAAAGAGCAGTATCACATGGAACGTACCAATATCTTGTTAAAAAAGTCTCGAAAAGGAATTTTAAAACGAATTAAACGATTAGCAAAGAGCACCTGGTGGATGTCGCTAACGCCTCGTTTGTAATGCTCGTCTAGGAACCTTGACAGCTAGTGACGGAGGTTGTCTCGTCTCCGGCCACGACAAGAGAAGGGGGGAAGGAGGAACTCCCCTCTTCCCGAGAATCCCCTTTTGTGTGTCGCAGAAGTCGCTATTGTCCCCCTAGAAGATTATAGAAGATTAACCCGTCACTCAAAATTCGTACAAAAGCAGCCGCTTCGGTGGCTGGAACGACTAGGCCATCCTCTCGACGTCAGCCTCGCCATAGCTTTGCTCGTCTTGAGACGACCTACGTCACGATTGCGTTGGATGTCACGTGCTCTAAGCTGGGCCTTCTCCGAGCGCTTGCCAGAGTGGGCCATTTATAACGAAAAATACAGCCACCAGGATCAAAATACAAACGTGCGATTGTCGTTTACGGATATTGTGGATCATATTCAACCTATTTTTGAACACGACGGGAATATTTCAAATTTCGTTGAAGTATCCCTTTAAAGCCGGCGCACAACCTCGGTTTTCTGCAAGGAAGATAATCCTGTTCGCACCTTCCGCTCCTAAACTGCGAGGGGAGCCGTGTTGGGGCAAGATGAAAGGTGAAGGGGTATGGGAAAGGAGGGAGTGAGGAAAAGTGGAAAGCCCGAAGTGTACGTCGGCATTTAAGCTGAGAATACAGCCAAAGCTACAGGCGCGAGCTATTCCGCGCTCCCGCTTTGAGACATGCATTTCGAGCGCGAGCGCTCATAGCAGTCGGAACGGGCTCTCCTACTCGGCGCAGCGTTGCTTCAACGGTACTTGGCAAAGACCGTCTGCCCACGACCAGCTGGTGTGCTGAATGGAATATGCCCGCGCGACCCTTGTGAACCTTTTCCGTATTATAGGGAGTATTCACTGGCGGCCATATCCGTGTGCGCTGCTGCTGAACGCGTGCTGATGGCGAGCTTCCGCAGTCTTTTTGGAGCGTGCATTTAGCACCATCAAGGTTGCCGGTCTTAGCAGGCTATTAATGTGAGCTCGTACTGAGCATGCGCTCTAAAGAGCACCCACAAATATGGCGCCCAGTGAATACTCCTTATAGTTTGATCGCTGACCTCAATTTTAGATTAAGAGGTGAGGTCGATCTCTTCCCCTTGTTTTCCGAGGCAGTGTTGGCGAACACTGTCGTCGAAAAGGGACTCTCGTCGATTCTATCTTCGTGTTTTGTGTGATATATAGCTCAAATAAACGCCGCATGGATTACCTTCGGAACACGGTATGTACACTTTGTTATTAGTATGCCATTTTTATTTTGACACGACTGCACGTCACTGTCAAGCTATAACAGTTCGTGGGAGCTACGAGCGATGCCGGTCCAACCTTCCTTTGCCGAGTGTCACGTCAGTATCGAGTTGCAATCGTAAAACAACGGTCCCGAAGCGCTTACCAACAGCGCGAATACAGCACTTCCATCAAGCGCGCGCGTCCGCTCCGAGTGTGAACAGGTATTTACGTGGCTCTTGCTGGACACTGTCGTAGTTCAAACGTATCTTTTTTAACGTCGGCTCGCTCCTGCATCTCAGAGGCCGCGAAAAATGCCGCGGCAATTTGTCTCTATCTACGTCGCTTTGCAAACGACTGGCACGGGCCGCCTTTTACCAACAATGACGGTTGGTTTGACTTCTGGAGTCTTCACCGGAAGACTCGTCACACTTCTCAACAGGCATACCGGCGTATGGGACTAGTCCCATGCTGTCGCTGTAGCGCAACATATATCATTGAATTTCGCTCAGCTGCGATGTGTCCATGGCTATCGTGGCGATGAGAGGCGCCGATTGAGAAAATACGCCGGTGACATCAGCGCCATCTGCTCAATAAAACCTACCGGCGCACCCCCAAGTCGCCGCCTCTAACGCTCCCATTCTTCTGCAGCCGAGAGAACTTCCGGTTCCCTTGCCAGAGTACGTCACGACCGTCAAAATTACGCCGCAACTTGTTTTGCGGTCAGTTGGAGAGAAAGGAAAAGTCGATATTTCATTAATTTTTCGTGTAGAAGTTAATAAACCGAGACAAAAATGGATGCTTGTTCGGCATTCAGTGAACGTTCAAGGTTTAATGTAAAAGTTATCTGGCAAAATTAAAAGGTCATTTCATGGTCTCTTTAAGGGTGAACGGAGTATATCGGAGCTCTGGAAAAATGCTGGTGACATCGTGATCGCGGGGCGCGCGCTTAAAAGCATGCTTCAAAGGCTCCGGTAGTGCGGTACGCGGAACACGGTAACGGTTTGCTGAATGTCCCTATTTTTAGCAGAACCGGAACATAACCGAACTGAAATCCTCGCCGCCATCCTAAAACTGAATCGGTACTGAACCGGAAAGAATATACCGGTGACCGGTTCAAAAAGGCTCACGGTATTTTTGTCTTTGTTATCACAATTTGAGAGTAAAAAATTTGCTAGTCGTATTTCTATGTATTCATTAAATCGACATGTACAGGATTGCGATGTATGAGAA